TGAAGAAAATGAACCTAATCTTAAGACATCATTCAATGTATATTATGATCAAATATACGCATTGAGCTTCCTGCACATGGACAAAAGGAAGTAGAGTTTGTAGAGTTGGTTATGGAGTTCACACACTGAGTTATAATTTTACCAAGCTGTTAATTATTAACTTAAAATGAGGAGTTAACTTTAAAAAGCCGAGGTTGGGTGCTGCTGCCAATGTGTGACAGGCAATGTTCACTCACTGGTTTATTGGAGCAGTAAAAATCATGTAGTGTTATCTAGGGTAAATAAAGCACAGTTTCTCCTCTGAAATGACCTTAACTTTGTCTGTACATTCACTGCACTGTTCACACTTTTTTTTTTTTTTTTTTTTTGGACAGTAAACAGTAAAACCTGTTGTTTGTGTCCCCTGCAGTCATGGTTAACTTGACCGGCAGAGCTGTCAACTTCAGATAAATTGGACTCTGAAGTAGTTAGCAAGACTCGGGCAAACAGTCGCAAGACACACAAGCGCACACACATCATCTGTACTCAGTGAATAATTAACTTGGCACTATAGCGATGCTGCTTTCTGTAATATGAATGCAAACGTTCATTTGCATCTGATATCTCTTATCGAGAACAAACATAGAGAAGTAATCTTAGGGTGAGCTTGCTGACGCTTATTGACGCAGATTAATTTCAACACATTGTGAACTTCACAGTGAGGTGGCAGATATATATCGAAGAACAGAACAGCTCCGCGGAGAATTAGCAGATTCATGGTTTAACTGCTCACCTGTCTGGCCCTCTCTCTGGAGTAGGACTCACTGTCTCCTTCTGTTTCTGTCTCTGACTCTCCATCCTCCCCTGAGTTTAGGGATGACACGCCTGACTGTGACGCCCCCTCACACTCAGACAGCTCTGCTCCCTTCCATAAACATTTGCTTTGGTCCAGATCCCGGAAAAAGGGACAGCTGGTGCTTGTGGAGCTGAGGTTGTTGTGGAACTTCAGCCACTCTAAAGATGAGCTCTGCGCCCATCCACTCCCTGTGTCGGAGGAACTTCCTGCATCAGGGTCGTGGAAGTTCAGCTGAGAAGAGCCCATGTCTGACCCCAGCCGTTTGGCCAGGTGCTCGGCCACCTCCCTCTCCACGGTGCTCCTTCCTGACAGGGCCACTCTCTCCATGCTGCCTGTTTGTCCTCCTTTTCCTCTTTCTTGCCAGCCACAATCTATCTCATCATCTGCCCTTTTCTGCTCAGCTTCTACCTGTTCCTCTGGCTTTCGATGAATGGATTCTGGCACCAGTGCATCAGAGTCCCTTGTTTTCGTGCCCTCTCTAATGTCCATGACGAACCTCTTCTGCCCCAGTGACCCAGTGATTGCAGGTCCCTCACCAAAGGTCTTCAGGGGGCAATGGTGCAATATTAACCCTGCAGACCTCTCACCCAGCACTTTGTTTGGCCCTGAGGAGACTGCCTTGATACTGGATGTGTCTGAAGAACTGATATCTTCCTCCATATCCATCTCCTTGTTCCATTTTCTTTGCATTTCATTTGTGTCTTTCACAATCATGTCAGCCTCCCCTCTGCCCACACAGTCGTCTGTTTTCTTGCCATGTGTTTCAGTTTGCCACGGCTCATCGGCCCCCTCTTTGCTCTGTCTGGTAGGATTTGAGGTTGAATTACTTGGAAATTCACCGACAGCTTCATTTTTACTGTTCACACTGCTGGGGCACGGCGAGCAGGAAAGGGCACAGTCATCCCTGATTCCTGTTACTGGATTGTTCGGGCTTTTCTCTGTGACACAAGTTTCCTTCCCACAAGCCAGCTGGAACTTGCGATACTTTGGACATTGCATATAATGGTCATTTGTCCCTTCAGCCACAGGTGTAATAGTGCCTGTGCTGTTCTGACTTCCCATTTTGCTGTTCACTGATTTGTTACAGTGCCGAGCCACTTCCTGCTGACATGGTGAGTCAGCAGCTGGTTTTACTTCTTTCTCATCCAACAATAAATCGTCAGAGTCAGTGCCACAGTCTTCTTTTGATAATCGCCTCTTACATTTCTTCTTACAACAGGTCTTTCTCAGAACGGGGGCAGAGCCCTCGCTGCTGGAGAAGAACTTAGGGAGGAGGAAATCAAAGCATGCTTCGTCTAGGTCTCTGAAACCAAGGACAGAAGCTGAATTACGTATGTCTAACACATCGTTTTTCCCGAAGAGAAGTTTGGATGTGTAGGCAAACGTCAGCAGGGGTTCAAAGCCAGCGGCTGTCACCTGTGGAAGGGGACAAGTGACATAAATGAGCCCTTATATCCTCTAGTTTGCTCTCAATGATAGCAAGAGGTAATTTTATACTGTAATACTTTCTGTCAGATAGTTAAGCATAGGCCAAGGAAATAGAAGTACTCCTACCACAAATGTTTAGCAAAGTAAAGCTCAGCATTGTAGCATTTCACTGACACAGCAAACAATACATGTAACCACAAGTCATTGTTTTGCAAGTCACATGTAAGTCTCAAGTCTTGGCACTCAAGTCCTGAGTCAAGACAGGCAAATCCGAAGTCCTAAACTTTAAGTTTCAAGTCCTAATGCGCTCTTTACCAAAGGTAATGCTATGTTAATAACAGCGTAAATCATGATTTTTGGCAATTGTTTTTCTTATTGGTTAAAACAAATTTGTTGGAAGTTTCTGCATCTCTGTCTGTAATTTTTCGACCCACATGCTTTGCATTCTGCAATTCATTTTTTGTTTACCCCCTGTGTAGTTTTTTTTTTTTTTTAATGCAAATGACATTGTCTTTGGTATTGTGTTTTTATTTTCAACTGGCACTCAGTAACTTACTAACTCAGATTGGTTCACACAAAATAGATCTAGAGAATTAAGTGTCAACTGACTGGGAATGAATAGTGATGTTAGCTGATTCAGGAAATAGAGGGACATGAATGAATTCCTGGCACACTCGAAAGGCTCAAGTCCATGGGGAAATCATGAGTCACTGGTGTTAAAGTTCAAGTTGAGTTGCAAGTCGTTTTTTGATTTCAATAAGTCCAATCTAAGGTCATCAAATTTGTCCAGGAGTCCAAGTCATGAGACTCGAGTCGACACTTCTGCATGTAACTAAAATTCTGGTATCTGAGGCTTTTGGGGTTGATAAGCATAAACTAAGAGTGGTACAGCACATTTAGGGCTCTTCTACATTCCCCTTCAAATGCAAAGTGCACTTAGACAGTATGTGTTTTCAAGGTGACAGGTAATGACAAGATTTTAACTAAACACCAGCGTAAAGAATACACAATCTCTTATAGTCAGCCTGTGAACCATTAACACTTGTTGAGGAAATAACCCTTTCAGTCCTTGTCTCACTTCACTTTTACACATGGTTGTTGTTTTACAACTTGTGTGTCTACTTTTTGTTTGTACGGCATCGTGAGGTGACACCTCACCTCTTGTGGCAGAGTGATGACCGCTCCATGCTGTGTGAGGGAGGAGATCTTGTGTGTGAAGTACTCGCTACAGGAAGCGAGCACTGAGCGATGGGCTCTGAAACTTTGACCCTCCACCACCACGGTAACATCACACAATGTGTCTCGGCGACGCTGCTCGTCCAGGCAGCGCAGCACATGGGAGGAATGCACTGTAGACTCAAATGTAAACACAGACGACCGGGGGGCAGACGTGGCCATCAGGGACATCTATACATACACACAAACACATACACACACACTTACAGTATAGTTAACCACTTCCCCTCTATCAGGACACATACTTAAAGAGTTACACACAAAAATAACAACAAAAACATGCCTACCTTGCGAGGCTGACTTTATATATCCAAGTATCTTAGAGTGATAAAGAAAGTCCCAGCTGTTGAGCACACATGGTTATTTCTAAATGGAATGCCGTCCAGCCTGTCTACGTTTCCCAGAAAGCCTTATCTCAACTCTGCTACAAACTAAAAACTGAGCTTGACTCAGTCATATGGCCTGTGTGTGAGTATGTGAGAGGGAGGGAGAGATAGAGGGAGTGAGTGTGTGTGTGTGTGTGTGTGTCGCAACAACTCTGGGTGTAACAGAGCAAGCGCTGACTCATGCACTCCTGCTGATATAGGATGAGCAAGCAGTTTTCCCGTCCATACCAATCCCACCCTTGCATCTGTCTGGTAAACTAACAGGCTTTTCCCAGAAAATCCCTTTATAGATTTACCCTGAACCCTATTCAGAGATTAAGGTGAGGGTAGGAGAAATAATCCAGGTGTTTAAACAAGATACTGTCTATTGTCTGTGTCTTTCAATCCAGAGTTATCTGGGCTTACTTGACTAATTACTGGAGGTGCATTTAGTGTAAATAGAGAGTGTAAAAACAAATTAAACTGACATGTTGCAAGAAGAGGGAGGTTTTCATGTTAATGTAAAAGTTAATATTTCACAATAGGTCCATGTTGGCTCACACCTCCAGCAGAAAATCTTTCTCTGTGAGCTCAATTCAAGTCTTCGTTGTTGTGTGAGTCTGTCATTGAGAAACAGAACAGCTGGAGGAAGTACAATAAGTTAACAGCTGTAAAAATGTGCCAGCACAACTCATATAGCTGAATATGTGCCCTCATACTTTATCTACTTTTTTGTTACGCTTTTGAGGTGTCAGCAACTGTCATGCCATGTAAATAGTTATTAAATATCTGTGATGGGATGACTGCAGAGGCACATAAAAAATCGTATCATGAAAAACTTTTTTGTGTAAAGAAAAATGCCCACCTTCAAAGCTGCCCGGCAGTAAAGTACAACAGCTAATCATCACTACAAAGCTCTGTTGCCAGTGTCACATGATTCGAAGGAAAAAGAGGGAAGGCTGCCAGAGCCAAACTGGCCAATCAGGTGACTGTTTCATAATCCCAGAATGAGCTAATCCCCCCTCCCATGAAAAAAATCTAGTTCCTTTTTCCATGTAAGCGAAGCAGTATGATGATAAAGCACTCACCAAACAGAACAGCAGCGGCTTGGAGAAATGAAACTAAGGAACTGATGCTGATGTTAAAATAAAATGCATTTTATTAATAGGCGAGGATGATAAGCAACAGTTTATCTTGTTGTATACTTCCCCTTTTACAGGTGGGTGAGACACGCTACATCAAAAAAAAAAAAAAAAAAATGTACAGCTCTTACAGTGTTGTGTCGCAGCAGATACTTGTTGTGAAATGGATTATCACCCTTCTTCTTTTGCTGTTCCTCACAAATGGCTACAATTTCCCGATCCCTGACACTCGGTTAAACACTCATTTCCTTTTTTATCATAACAGGAACTTGACGGGTAAGTGTCAGAAGTGGGGGAGAGGGAGAGGGAGGGGGAAACACTCCTCAAAATACAACATTTGGACCACATCATACCACCTTTGGCTCCCTCCACAGACCTCAGGTAAAAAGATCTGAGTCTCCACAGGACCTGAGACAGATATGAGAATATCCGGTCACATTCACAGCAGCTGACAATGTGTAAAATATACTGCGAGGTATTGCGATGGCGATCAGGAAGGTTCTGCAAGATCACATAATAACAAAACCCAGAAAAAGCGGCCTTGTGTCATAGCCTGGTAGAATCACTACAACAGCTTCACACTGATGATGACAGTACGTCTGTGGTTCAAACAAATGACTCAGACATGAAAAAACACGACGCCTCTCTGTGTAATTAGCTGATTCACTGACTGCAGTTGTGTAGCACTAGCTGAGCCTTTATTTCTGCTTGGTTTCCTGGCCTGGCGTCAGCTGGATGTTTGGAGGCCTCAGGTTCCATGGAGGTCAGAGGTCACGAGGAGTCCTGCCTCGTTCGAGTGGTCACACAGAGCCTCTCCAGCTGCTGAGCGCGCTCGTTGTGGACAGTCACCAAGGTGCGGTTCTCCTCTGTTAGACGCCGAAACTCCTCCTCCAGACGGGCGATCTCCATGGCAACCTGCTCATCTTCCACCATCTCTGCCAGCAACTTGCGCCTAAACGAGGAGTGAAATAAAAATTTGAGCATCAAGTGCCAATTTTTACATTTAATCTTTTTCTGATTCACTTCTAAACACATAAACCGTGTAGTATTTCTTTTAAATTCCACAATTAATTAACTGTCGAGACATCTGTTTATTTTCATCTCTTCCCACTTTATCTTTTTTCAGATGTGAAAAGCTGGATACATTCCCAGCATTCACTTGGCTGGAGGCAGGAAAACACCCAGAACAGGTTCCCAGTTCAGAGAAAGGCAGAGTTGCAGACGATCACTCACATTTATATCTATGAGCAATTTAGATTCTCCAGCTGTCGTGTTTCCAGAATGTGGGGGGGGGGGGGGGGGGGGGGGGGGGGGGGGGGGGCCAGAGAAACCAAAACAAACACTAAACAAACTTACAGGAAGAGCTGAGCTGGGGAAAAAACATCGATCCTTCTTGCTGTTGGGCAACAAAGCTAACCAATCTGGAATAAGTAAATAAGACATTTGTTGGGTCATGGTCAAATACAGCGTATTTTCATGATGCACAGCACAAATTGTTCTTTATGCAAAAGGAAGGATGGTGTGCTGGTGTTTGGTACAAACCACAATTATGAACAAACTGGCTAATGAAGACCAGCTACAGCATAGAGTACTATAACAAAGGCTGCACATAAGGTTTACACAGTTAACTGACGTACATAACCAGCTATAGGCAGATTTAACGGTCTCCCTGAAGACAAAAGACCAAGGCGAAATCGACGATTTAGTCCGTTTTATGTTTTATTGCTCACTAGTGCAGTGCCCACTCAAAACCTGCCTGTTCGAAACAAACTGATTGCTTGGCCTCTAGTATTGCTGCTAGCAGCTTTTTTGAGAGCATCTCATCCCATCACCTTTGCACTCGACACTGGGCTTCCTTAGGTCCTGAGTAAAACACCTGCTATGACATAGCTGCCTCCCCTTGCAAAGCTAGAGTCTGTGTGTCATTTGCAAACAGCTGGCTGTTTGGGGCCAGGCTATTTCCAGGAACAAAAGCATTCATTCTGAAAGTTCACTGAAAGTTTGCTACAATTTCACATCTCCGGTGTTCATCTGCTCTTTTGGGCGGCTGTGGCTCAGAGGTAGAGCAGGTTGTCTACCAATCGGATGATCGGCGTTTCGATCCACGGCTCCTCCAGCCTACATGGCGAAGTATCCTTGAGCAAGACACTGAATCCCAAATTGCTCCCGATGGCTGTTCCATCACATCGGTGTGTGAGTGTGTTTAAAACTGAGTAGCAGGTGGCCCCATGTATGGTAGCCTCGGCCACCAGTGTATGAATGTGTGTGTGAATGGGTGAAGGTGACTCGTAGTGTAAAAAGCACTTTGAGTGGTCAGATGACTAGAAAGGTGCTGTACAAGTGCAGGTCCATTTACCATTTAATGTACTACAACAAGCAGGAGAGATTGAGTTATACCCAGCATACCGTTCTGCGGTATTAAAGTTAAAAGGGGTCCCCTTTCAAAACACTCCAGTGTCAACATAACACACTACATAATGAATATGTCCTGTAGATCTCAAGAGCTTGCACTCAACAGAGCATTTTGTTGGATTGACAGCAATACACCTGCCAAGTGTGAAGTCGACTGGATTAACGGCGGTGGTCAAGTAAATCAAAGACAGACATATACAGGCAGACAGACTCCTACCATTTTTTTGTGATACATGATGACTTAAAGGAGCAGTGTGTAGGATTTAGTGGCATCTACCGTTGAGGTTGCAAATTTAAACCAACTGAAAAACCCTTCCCTTAGAAACTACAGCGTCCTTCAGGTAATATAAACATGTGATTGCCCCTCTAGGCCCAGTGTTTGGTTTGTCTATTTTGGGCTGTTGTAGAAACATGGCAGTGCTACACAATGGGTTCTGCGGAAAAAGACAAGTTCTCCATGAAAATATGGGGAGTCATTCTGAGCTTACAAAACCACAATGATTCACACTAATATGTTTTTCATTTTTACACAGCATTTGTTTCTGCCCACTCAGACTGAAACACAATCCTGGAGTTTTCAAAGTAAAAAGGGTGAGTAGGGTTTTCAAAAGCCTCCATTTTAGGGTTTTAAAAATGCCGGAGTAGTGTGGATGCTAGACATAGGCATAGCAAAACTTATGCAGACTAATGTATTAGTGTGGATATAGCAGTGGCGGCCCTAGCATATTTGGTGCCCTAGGCGAGCCTTTTCACTACATATGACAAATCATAATTCCCTAGCTATTATCTATTTTATAGTGCCGTGAAAACATGAACAAATTTCTCCTTCAAACAGCTACGTTTTAGCCACGTTTTACAAGAGTACATTGAACACATCATAATGATGTTCTAATTTACCAATCTACCTTTGACCAATATTAATTTTTACTGAATAGAGCTTGAATGCTTCACAATATTAATCAATGTAAACTCTGTGAGCTGTTTGCTTTACAATATTAATCAATGTAAAGTCTGTGAGCTGTTCATTACAGCCACTGCCTGCTTAGAGCGAGGTAACAATAACTAGCTCTCCTCCTGCTGATTTTATGTTCTTTCTGTCCACATACACTTCTCTCAGTAGTTTCAGGTGTCTAATATGTATATTATATTTCATTTATGCAAATAGACTCCCCTTAATCCTACACACTTCCTTTAAGGGCAACACTTTTACTAAAATATCCCTCATTTCAGATGAGTTAAGAAACTTGACTTGTATTTTACAAAGTGTGTTTTTCATGGCAGATGGTTTGACGTAATGCTACTTGCAGAAGTTGTGTTCTTGTCTTACCATTTTTCACCACTCCAATGGTACTTTTGGCATCTGGTAAGTCCACGTGTTAGTATGTGCATAACACAATAAATCACATAAAGTAAAAAAAAATTACCCCGTGCCAACTATCTACTACTGAATTGAATGACCGCAGCTCTGGTTTAGGCAGGATGACCTGACTTTGCCTGGCAAGCAGTGATTTCACACTCTGGGAGGAGATCAGCCTTTGGACTTTGAGAGGCAGTGTAAGCACACACGCACGTACATGTATGTGTACAATGTGCGTGTCATGGCCTCTCGCCTGAGAGTGTGTGAATGTCAGTGCTGAATTACAGCTGGTAAGTGCCAAGTCACATAACAGCAGCATCAACAAAGAAGGAAAGGAGTCTCTCCCCTACAATACAGGCTGTCAGTGGAGCTTTAATGGCATAACTATGACAGAGGATAACTATGCTGGTTTTTATTTAGTGGAGGTGACGATGTTAAATGATTTAAAGGCCCAAATCTTAATGAATTTAACCATGCAAATTTGAGCTAAATTCACACACACATTTGATGAGTTTGCCAGAGTAATGAAAACATATTTCCAGCTCTATTTAAAACCACACAAATAACTAAGATATAATTTTTCTCACTCGCTGCAATAAAGTCTATTCATCTGAGAAGGATGATGTGAAGTGTTTTCAGTTTGGTTAATAGGGCTACACTTTTGTTTGCAGTTGGAACACAAAATAACCCTTTAAATCTTGTCTTAAACAACTTGTTCTCATGTTTGTTTAAATAAACTTTTAGTAAAAATGGTACCCAAAATGTCAAATTTATATGGCGAAACTGACCCTCTTGAGTCCAAAAAGATTGTTTGATTACAATGGACTATTCATTTGAAATCCTCTTATCCAAATACCTATGGACCATGTTCAGATGATTCATTTCCCGAAAGACCAGAATCACACAAAAGAAGCAATGATGAAAGATAGACGCACCTGTGTTGTGGTGAAACTATGATGTTTATCTAATCTCATGTTATCTCTGTGTATCTTCAGCCATAATCTATTTTCAGTTTTTACACATTTCTCTAATACTGGTGATTCTGTCTGAGTTGGTGAGCATATTACTTAATTCACAGTTTTTGCGTTACGTGATTGTGCTTAACTGTAATTAAAGTGCAACTTTTAAAACCACCTACAAGCAAAATGCAATATGATTTACAGTAATCAGTGATTCGGACGAATTGCTTTTGTGCTGAGTTTTGGTTTTCTTCATTGGAAGCATGTTGAAACATGCATGTGCATGTATATGTGGGTATATGTGTATGCATGTTTGTGTGACAGTGAGAAACTGAAAAAGGGGAAGAGATCTCTCTCAGTTCAAAAGAATCCATCCGGAAACCAGAGAAGCCATGCTAAATCTGATTTAAACTGTACTGAACACTTTTTTTGCTTATTCAATGAAATGTAATACACTACCACATTTGTTTGTTTTGTCTTTTCTGTGTATTTAAATGTGTAAAGATCTGAAAAAAAGCATAAGGTAAAGAAACATTACCCTGTGTACCAAAAGCAGCTAATATGGAAATAAAGGTATTTCTGTAAGTCAGGTTCTTACACTCTTTTGCAACAGGGCTATTTCTTGTGTAACCTCTTTGCATCATGATAGCATCAGTACCTAAATCAGGCCTAATATTAATGTCTGAGTAAAAGTTTCCAACACTCTGATGTAAGGGTTTCTTGCACTTTGACCATCTTTGAGAAAATTGACATTTTTGTTGAAGTTATGTTGGTGGAATAAAGTTCAGTTTATCTGGCATTACAGGACTGATTGTACCGATCGACTCTGTAAAATTTCAATACTTGTAAGAGTTAAAATCCACTATACAGATGAGTGCTACAGTTTATATATTTTTAACACTGGCCAGACGCAGACTGAGTGAGTTTTGGAAAATCCCTCCGCAGTGTGTCAAAGTCTTGTTCCTGTTGCAACACTCCACTGTATGTCTAAAACTCTCCTGTCATTCTGTGTGTAATCATGTGGGAAGTAACATCACTTTCATTGTATCAGACATGTCTGTTAATGGTTGACAAATAGCAGAAAGTATCAAATAATATTTCCATGGAAATATATTTGATGCCTCATTAATGAAATATCAGTATCGGTGATACCTTGTGTGGTATTTTTAGCATCGGTGGAAAAGCACAATGTGCGGTATTGTCTTCACTTCTGTCTCGTTGTGTCTCACTTTACTTTTAAGTGTGAATCTGACTCGTGTGTGTACGTGTCAGTGGATGTTGGCATGAGCGACAGCATGAAAAGAGAGAACCAAGAGTTTCTACCGCCCTGACTCATCATGTTCTTATCTAAACTCAAGGCTATACTCATCCCATCGCAGCCTGCCTGCCTGCCTCTCTATTTAGGAGCTGCCAAGTGGTGTAGGTTGTGTGTGTGCATGTCTATGTGTGTGTGTAGGTGTGGTGGTGGGGTAAAACCAAGGGCCTTGAAAATCCTACTGCTAAGACTACCCACAGCTGCTGAGGGCACAGGGGACACTGTGCACTGGGTGTGTGTGATACACACCCTTGTTTATGTGCAAGCATACACAGTAGATGCATTAAAGCATACAGCAGGTCTCACTCAATTACACCTGACAGGGCTTACAGTTAGTGTGATATCCACTTGAGCAAAGGTGCTCCTTTTCAAAAATATGATCCAGATTCAAACAAAGAAATGCAGTTTACAGTGTAACGTCATCCACATTGTACATCACACATGCTTGATGCTGTTTCTAATCTAAAAGTAATTATAAGAAAAAACAATAAAAAGAAGAAAATTCATCTGAAATATAAAGTTTTACACTACCAGCTGTTCAAATATAATCTTAAGGAAACTGCTTTCAGTGGATCACGTACTGAATGCTGAATGAAAGCTATTAACATGTGCCATCTGGTGGACAATTTGATCCAAAATGCCTTGCAGTCATACTGTACACGTGCTTGCATTTTTATCAAAGGTGGCCGCAGTGGGGATTTAACTCCTGAAGCTTGTAAGTTTATGTTCCAAACATGCACCTACAAATCATTTTTATTATAAGAAATCCTCATTTGTTCTCCTTGAATCAATGTTGATTGTAAGTGGGTACTGGAATGTGTCAAAATGCCTCTTCCTTGTAATTTTCATCCCATCTCTGGCCAGGAATACAACTAACATTCTGTCAGTATATACCGTAAGGCTTGACATGTCTCTTCTGGTTCAAGCAGTGACAGCCAGCCACAAGATCTCCTGTTTGGATGTGTTAAAATAACAACAACAACATTTACGAGACTTACTTGCGGTCCTCAAGCACGGCGATCTCGTGTTTGACCTGGTGGAACTCCCTCGCCATCCTGCAGTGCTCCTTGTAAACCTGAACGCTCTCTCTCAGAGACACACAGGGGGGCACTGGCTGCAAGAGGTCAGAGAGAGAAATGTGACATCAGAGAGAGGCAGCATTAGTTTAGACCTATGAAAAGCCAAATAGATTATAATATATAAAAAACAGATTATATTAGACAAAATGCTTCCAAGGAAACTCCCTGAAATTATTTCTACGTACAGCTTAAAGCTGGGGTGCAGGACTATAATAGATGAATAATCATCAGTTACATGCAAGCCCTGGTCAAACAAGTTCACACAATGCTGATCAAGCCTATCGCCACCATGGGAAGCTCTGTGTATCTCTTGGTATACAAAGTTTTGGTATCAGGTGTCTGTGGTGACTGGACCAGCCAGAGCGAAATGGGGGGAGAATAATTTATTCATTCTGTTTGGCACTGCTTTTCGTTTTGTTTTCTCAATGCTTCATCTGTATGTGCACGATTCTGATGATGTGTTCTCCTGATACTATGTGTGCTCAAGGGCGGAGAGACCATACCGACACACCAGTGGCTAGGAATATGGCAGGAGCAATGGCGGAAAAATCGTCCAAGAAAAGTTCCTGGAGTGGATTCTCCAGATAAAAAAGAAACTCTGCCTTCAGAGGAAGGATTAAAGTTTAAAAAAAAGACTTGAAAAGAGTGCTCTTGGGGCAGAGGGGAGATGCGGCATACTCACCTGCAGACATATCCTATAAAAGCATGCGTCAACAGTGTTTATGTAATTATTTTCTGTGCCAGAGGGGGGAGACAGATGCTCCTTACTCCAGCTTTATTGCTCAAAAGCTGCTAATTCCTCAAACTTTCGTGACCCTCTGACCTTTCCCACAGTGCCCCAGTAGCACCATTGTCATGTACTTTGATACACGACAGGAAAAATGTCCATAAAATTTGCTGCAGATATCACCACTGGTGAAACATGAGATTGCTGTGCTTGAGGAGCAAGTGAGACGTAAACTGACTTGTCTCCATATCACTTGTATGAGATCTATAAATGCTTTATAAGTAGAAAGCCTGACCTTGTGGTGCTATGGTAGTGTGTGTGATGCCAGATCGGAAGATTGCATGCTCAAATCATGTCAAGGTCACAAAAAATAAACAAGTTTACAATCCCAAAACATCGAAAGATTTAAAAACTTGGACAAATGGAAGCCTTGGGTCCAGTGTATGAAAGCTATCATTCATTGACTGCTGTATTGTTCTCAGTTGATACTTTTAACTAACGTACTTCATGTGAATCCGGCCCTGACTCTCACTGAAGGGTAATTCAGTGACAACACTAATAGTGGAGAAAAGCACACACACTGAAAACATTTCCAGGGTTGATAAACTAAATGTAAGCTTAGTTTTTAATCTACTTCTTTTATTTTTATCAAATTGTTTTTATCTACTTTTCCTGCGTCCAGCTCTTTCTTTCAGTGAATGACCTCCAGAATGATTTCTGTGGCCTGGCCTTCAGTTGTGAATTAGTTGTACAGTAATGGGAGACAGCAATAATGACAGCAATGTGCATATTTACTGAGCAATAGTATTCAAAAGAAAACATATTTCAAAGAGGGGATTAATTTGCCATTGCACTGTTTGACTATCCATCAGAAAAATACAGCACTAAGCCTCAAAACAGACCCAGGCATGAAATGCAAAATGCTAACAGCTTTTTTTTTTTTTTTTTTACATTAAGTTAAGAGTACAGATTTAGATTTTCCTTTAAAAAGTACATAATAGTATTCTTTAAAACCCAGTGCCTTCTGCCTCTCTTCTCTTGTGCTGCCCTGCCAACAATTCAGGATGTGTTTCATGTATGTGATGCGACAGAATGCACTGTATACCTGTAGTCGCTGTTCGAGATCCGGGAAAGTCTGTGGGAGGGCCTCCACATCTTTTACATCTGTTGAAACAGAACACAGTATTCACTTATTATTATAATGAATCATATTTACAATGTTATTTAATACATGTTGAACAACAAACACTGACTAACCAGTACAGTGATACAAATGCACGTGTTCTGTAGTAGGGGAAGAAGTAATAATATCTTCTACTTAAGTATAAGTGGCAGTATAACCGTAAAAATACTCTGTTACAAGTAGAAGTCCTGCACTCACATGTTTACTTAAGTAAGCATGTGGAAGTACAAGCACAAAAATACACTTCAAGTATCACAAGTAAAAGTACTTATAATACAGTGTCATGTTATTATATATTTTGTATTTTTTGCTGGTTATTATTGATTAACATGTTAAAGGCATGTTAATATTGTTGATGGTTGGGGTTAAGGCTGAACTGAAACAGCCTACTGTAATTTGGCAGGATGCAACACATTTTTGAAAGGTGAAATGAGTGTCAAAATACCATTTAAGATGAAATATTGTTTTGGTGCAGGGGCATCCTGGAGTACATATCATAGTATACAGACCTAAGAAAACACCAGTCTTTGGTATAGATCTCTGCAAAAGTCATACCATAATCATTTTAACATGTAGGGAATAATGATGAAATAAATTATTCCCTTTTCTGTTGCAGATTATATCGCAATTGCAATATGAGTCAAAATAATCCCAATTAGAAATGTCTTTAAAAATCGCTCAGCCGTAGCTGAGGTGAGGCTAAATATTTTATATACTGTTGAGTATTCTGATCTATAACAACGCATCTGATGCATCAGATGATTATTATTGTTTACTAGTAAGTAGTAACTAAAGCTGTCAGATAAATTTAGTCAGTAATAAAGCAGCAAAAGATTTAAATACAACCTTAAAACTTAACCTTCAAACCTTCCACCACTCTTTTTCGGCTTGATCTCCTCCCTTCTGTTTAAGCACTCTATGATGATCAGCATGCAGAGTATGAAGGTTATTTTGTCAAATTTAGGTTAGAATTATGTCGTGATACTGCACTGCAATACGGAGAGCACTGCAGGAAACTCTTGGCCACAAAAAAAATGTGTCAGTCATGAGCTTTATCAGAGGATCTCAACCACAGGTTTGTCAGAGAGTTCTAGGGAGTCCCCAGAAAAATGGGGAACAGTTTATTTTTACTTTTTAATTCATTATAGAAGTGAAGCTAAAGTGGGCAAGAGTCATAAGAGTGACTATCCTGATCACAGGTTTCACTTCCTCTGTAGTTCTATCTCCTCAACTGTAGCTGACAAAGATAGAATTTGAACCAAAATCTTTTCAGATGGAGATCCCTGAAGTTAAATCTTACCAAATGGGGGTTCGTGACCTCATGTACACTAATTTAGGGGTCCATGACATGAAAAAGGTTGAGAACCACTCACAATTTATCATGTTGACTGCTACTGTTGAAGGGCAATTTAGATTATGTAGTTTATTTAATCAATAAGGTTTCTTTTCAGCATTAAAAACATCCACATGTTTAGTGATTAATCACCTACAAGCAACATCCTGCAAGTTGATTTTTACAGCATGCTTAATGACTTCATTTGATAAATCAACATCATGCCGTATGTCTTCTTAGATAAATTTCTTTTATTAATATTATTTGCCGCATGTTCTTGATGTACAGCCAAGTGAGTTGTCCTACAGGCAGTCGCTTTAATGTCTTTCTCCGCCTCATAAAATGGACCGAAATGAAACACTATAGGGGCCTCTTTTGTGACACCACGACATAGCAACACAGTGCTGCACTTATAAATGAGCCATGTCCTCTTACTGTACAGCAGTAATGAGCTGTCAGACTGAAAGACATGCGGGGTAAGAATACAAACAGACAAACACAGTGGGCAGAAAGAACAGACAGGCCAGATGTATAGACGGAGAGGGATTCAGACAGACGGGCTGCCAGACAGCCAGACAGATAGACAGACAGAAACAGACAGGTTGTCTGCACCAGCCTCTGCCTCGCCAGTAATGTCCCCCTGGAGTTGTGGAACACATGTGGAGAATCCTGGGATGATGCAACCTTCTAAAAGCAGAGGTATCAGTGGGCCAGCCTGCAGCCATGGGGCCAATTATGATGTGGAATAAATACAGTTCTCATGCTTAGGATTGACACAGTGTGGGGTTATAACTATGCCTGGCATGAAGTCATGAAGGGCCTAGAGGATGATCCCCAGACGAAGCACAGGTCTCAGTCCCCCCGCTGAGAAACATGAGTTCAAAGAGGCAACAACACGCCCGTCTAGGGAATATCCAAAATTTGATTTCAGTGGGTGGGGTCAGACTGTGCCTCAACAGCTTTGGAGCTACAACTAAAACAAGGTGTGTATGCATGCTACCAACTAAAGCAGGCCCTGTACAGTTACTGTTCCAATCCAAAAATGAACCAGCGCACAACTAGATAACAAAACTAATTGGAAAACGGGGTGAGACACAAAAGTGGAAACAAAAGAACAGCAACACGACTGATTACGAAATAAAAAAGTGATTCAGTAAGAGGACACACAGCCATGTGCAAATGACAAGCAGAATGTCATGGAGTTCAATGAATCACTGCTCAGAGTGGGATTTGAGTGTGTCGTTCCTGCTACAGCCCTTCATCTCACTTCCTAAAGAGAAAGACAAGGGGGATCAGGGATGGGCGGAGTAGGACTGGAAGTGTTAACTGCTTATAAATATAGGCCAGTGTTCTAAAAGCTGAACAGTGAATCAGGCAGCAGGACACTGTTAGTATTAGCGGGGAAACCTGACTCTGCCATTGCATAGCTGCAGCTGTTGTCCCAGTGCCTGGCCCCACTGCGGTAAAACATCCCCACAGACACTACCTTGCACTGTACATAGGGTAGATCGGATTGAAGATTAAAAGAATCAAACAACACTGGTCAAATGAAAAGGTTGCGCAATGGCTCGTGTGGGTGCATACATGTGCGTTTTGCAAGTGCACAGCTGCGCACATGCATGTGTGGTTGGTTTTTTAATATGCTGTGGTCCTACAGAAATAGAGGGAGCACCTGTCTCAGCTACGGCGTAGAAGAATGAACACTGTTAAAGTGATAGGGTGTGATGGGGGTGTGTGTGGGGGGGGGGCTGCTCGGGGCAGATTGTGCCTGGTCTGTTTTGGTGGGAGGAATGTGGTGCATGTGTTCCACACATACTGGAAATGCAGTGAGAGTAGAGCTCCGAGCTTCGCCAGGTGTTAACTGATCACTTGAGTAATAGGTGTAAGCAAACTCAAAATAAGTTGTTACGGTCATTTTTGAGATGCTGGAACACAAGTGTGTGTGAGGTGAGCCCATGGCGTGTGTGTGTGTGTGTGTGTGCAGTGTGTAAGTGCGTGTGTGTTTACCTGATGTGTCGTCGAGGCTGAAGGCAATTCTAACTTCAGATTTATCAGGAGACACTCTTCTGGTTGAGGTGATCATTTATCCCTTCATGAGGCCACAGGCACAAAACAGAGCTGTTAGCACAATCGAAAGGGTCTCAGGAAAGGCGATTGTTGATGCAATGATGAAACGATTAGGCAATTAACTGGAAATCAAAAGCAATTTAAATAATCTATTAATAATTTCAGAGATATGTCACAAAAAAAATCAGTGTTTCCAGCTTCTTAAATGTGGTGATTTACTGAATTTATCTATTTTATAAGAGCGTAAACTGTTGTTAGGACAGAGCGAGCAATTAAAGATGCCACCTCAGCTTCTGGGAAATCACGAAGGGCATTTTCTCACTATTTTATTTATAGACCAAACAATTTATCAGCAGATCAGTGAGTAGTTATAGTATCAGCTTTAATTTGATGTGTATCTGTTGTCCAACTGGACAATGGAAGGCATTTTTTTTTATTCCAATCTATTTCATGCAGCTGCAATGATTAATTAGTGGTCAACTATTAAATGAATCGCCACCTAATCTGATAATTAATTGATTTGAGTAATTGTTTGAGAAAATAAAGTCAAAATTATCTGATACCAGTGACTATAACATGAATATTTTTCTGGTTATTTTACTCCTCTTGACAAAGTAAGCCATCCGAGGATGTCATTTAGGGGTTTTTCACCATTTTGGGTCATTTATTACACCAAACAACTATTCGATTAATCAAGAAAAATAACTGACAGATTAACTGACAATGAAAATAATAGTTAGTTGCAGCCCTATTGTGATTTTAATCACACTTAACTAAATCCTGAACCCAGCAGGTGTTGCATTCAGTTGCAAGTTTGCAGACTCTTTGAGAGAGTACGTGATTAATCCATACCGAGAAAAGTATGGGGCCTCTTGAACACACACACACACACACACACACACACACACACACACACTGCAGCCACCAGTTTCATCATGCATTTAGAGTTGCAGTGGGATTATATAATTAGGGAGCTTTGACAGACTGGCTCTGAGGTCTGGATTTTGCATGCCCCCCTCCAGTGTAGGTACAGGCTTTTTATATCAGGGCATTTGCCTGCTTTAACCCCAGTAAACCCTCTGTCTCACACAACAATGACCTTCTACAGCAGCAAATAAGCACTATTTTATTAATTAGTATATTTAAATAGTTGGAAAACGGTTGAAAGGTCAAATTTGTCAGATGCATTGCATTAAAATAAGACAGTATTATGAGTGAAACAGTGAAATAGTGCACATATTGATGGCATATGATCCACATAAGGATGGAGAGTTTATTAAAGACATATGGACTATCATCAGCATGCACTGCTGAAAAGGACCCATCATTGTTACCTGAAGCAGCACGAACCCGACCCAGGAAATTCCGTTCAATAAAGTTTAAAATCAGATAGCAGTGTCCGGCCTCAATACTGATTGTCTGTTCCCCGTCGGACCTCAGAAAAAGCGCAGGTCGTCTCTCAGCCGCTGCATGGCACAACTACCTCTCCAAGGATTGACCTCCTCTTCCCTCTTGAGACTCCAACTGTACTATTCTGTATTCAAAAGTTCTCCGACATAGTCGAGGCGGCCGTCCACTACACTGGTGCCAGCAGCTCAACTTTGCGTGGGCATGGACATGTTATCCACGGACAGCAGCCACGCGGCGGAGAGCAACACAACAGGGCGCAAGCAGTTGGAGGAATGCCGTCCGCTGTCCCCCTGTGGCGGCCCGGGCCCAATTAAATGTCTCAGATGACATGACTTTAGCCCGCAAAAATGCCCATAGCTGCAGCACTGTTTTGAGTGACACGGTCATGCCGCTGGGATGGTCTTTGGCTTTGCAATAGCTGTGCAATGAGACAGTTGCTCAGAATGAACATCTCATGCTATAATAGCTCTGGCGGAAGAAAATAGAGCATCCCAGTCTGTTTATCTTCTCGGGGGGTCATTTTGAGAATCAAGTGCAAGGGCAGGTCCACCTTAACCCTGGTGATATGTTTTTTTTTATAACTAAGGGGAGTTTCTTGAAACACATAAGCAACATCACACATTATTTAAAGGGACACTCTGCCGGATTTACACACAGGGTTAGTTTACTCATCTCAAGAAGGTACAACCCAGCCTGTGAGATAGATTTCTTAAGTCTGGAAAAACAACCCTGATGATGTCACTAGTCTGAAAAGAAAAGCCTGATTCAGGATTTAGAGATCTGTATATATATACAGTACAGGCCAAAAGTTTGGACACACCTTCTCATTCAATGTGTTTTCTTTATTTTCATGACTATTTACATTGTAGATTCTCNATAATTCTAAAAGAAAGACATCATTACAACCAGTGACTGTGGAATTTGGTTGGACAACATACTGGGCCAGAAGGGTCTGATGAAAACACACAGTTGCATCATGGATGAGCAGGATTGTGACCCATACTTAGGACTAAAAATTAGGATATCCATGCCTTTGTTGCTTTAATTTTGAAACTTTTTAAAATCTGCCTCACCAACACATTCTCACTCCTATATTGTCACATATTGACATTTGGTCATGGACTTTCCACATCCACAAAGGACGTGCAAGGTACCCTGGGTGCCTTGGTTGTTGATCTGGGACACCGTGTCAAGTTCTGCCTGTTACATGCATTGTCTTCTTTCAAAATACACTTCCTTTCTCAAAGGAAATTTAACATTTACATACAGTCTCTTTCAAAATAAATGCACTACGTTGGTACAACACCGTGACGCACACACACGATTGGGTTTAGGGAACAAAACACGTGGTAAGGTTTGGCAATAAATGCACATGGTTGGGTTTAGGAGAAAAGAACAGGGTTTGGCCTTAGAATCTTGAGAACACCGCTCTCTTGGGTGAAAGTCTGTTTTTTTGGACACATCCACCCCCACTCCCATCTGCCCCAGTTGGACTTTTGCCTCCTTAACTTTCATCCTTGTCCCGCCACGTTTCACCCTGATTGCACCGGGCACCGTTAAACTATAACAGCAACTGACTGCGGATCATGCCGACGTTAAGGGATACCTTTTTTTGTTGGTTTCTGACACCGCAAATCACTGCCCAAGCACCAGATTTTGATGACTTCTGAGTGAGACCAGGCTCGCCTCACGCAACCACGCATACATTTTTGGGACAGTTATGTCATTTTCCCGGCCAAAAATGGTCCCAGTCAGACACAACAAGTGCAATGCAGGCTCTGAAATGGTTGTGATCAGACATATAGACTGTGACATCCACTCCATATTCAAAGACTAATATTACTCAACAACCATTTTTTAGACATGAATAATAAGTTCATTCCATTTATGTATATCAACATGTAAATATATTCCATTGTCAGTGTTCTACGCCTGTGGCATTTGACTCTATTCAAGCTGCCTTTGATTGCACATGGACGAAACAGCTTTCAGGGCTGTTCAGCATGAAGTTCACCCAGGAGAGTCCTGTTCGGGTCAGTGCTTGTTTATTATTTGGTCTTGTTAACATGGTAATGTTCCTATGACACTCATAAAGAACGGCCAGCTGACAGCCAGGTTACATCATTGACGTCGGCACAACTCTCACTTTGGAACTATTTTTGAGCCATAGTGGGATGTCCTGATTAGATGTTCAACCAACACCATTCAACATCTCAGTGTTTGCTGGGAAGATTTCCTACTTTAGGGAGATGCAAGACTACTGTAAAACTTCAATTAATAGCCTGGGCTATTATTTGCTTAAATCACTGAAATCAAAAGGGCTATATTTGTGACAGGCCTATTGGGACAGGCCTTTAATTCTTTTCACACAAAACTGTTGCTTAGCAGGAACTACAATCAAATTGTTTATTTAAACCGGTATTAATATGACTTGTTTAAAGACTAGGCTTCAGATAAATTATTAATCAGGAATCATTTATTTGATCTAGCTCTGACTGACAGAGCATCAGAGAGAAAGAGAGTTACAACACTCGAGGATTACAGCACCCGGCATACCGATACAACACCTCTTGATCCTGTTGAAACAATACTCACAACTTGGATTAATTTTTTATGAAAAAACAGTTTGATCCTTTTGATCTGAGGACCTTTACGAACTAAAGGAATATGAATAACTTACATTTTTTACTATCCTCATCACAGATACAGACTGAAGGTCATGGTTTAATTACTTCTTGTATCTGTCCAGCAAAATGCACGTACGACCAAATTCTGTGATTTAGAGATTTGCAGATAAACTGAAATATTAAGAGTTCCTTCTTGGATTGAGAAAATTCTCCAAGTTCCTAAACTAATTGAATTATTTTAAATCTAAATTAAAATAACTGAAAAATGACTTGTCGCAAAGCTAAAAACAAAAAAGGGTACTTTTACTTTGTTCGTAAAAAGCTGTTGGTGGGGAGATATACAGCTTTTCACATGACAGCGACAATCTACATTTGATCTTAAGCGTCTGGAGTTGCAGAAAAAACAACTTATATGTATCTCATCTGGAAACTTGAGTAAAGGACATCACAGTCTGCCCTCCGTCTCATCTTGTCATGGGCTGACATGAATGTGCAGGACAAGATTTCATAATATGCCTAAACATAATAATAATAATGCTAAACTGACCTGACGATGGGGCTAAAAGGAAATAAATAAGCCAGGTTTCCTCGTGATTTGATTTACTGCAATATTCTGAAGCTTTATATCCATACGGCCAGTTCACCTGCACACTGGCAGATGAGAGCATCGCCCCTGAATTATTTACGGCCAGGCTTTCAGATGGTGGGAGAGAAAGAAAGACACGCACACACACGGCGAAAAACACAGAGAGAGATAAATGATGCTCTGCACCTCCAAGAGTCCTCCTCCTCCTCGTTTGTCTTCATTGACAGGCTGTTGACACACACCTGCCTTATCAGCCCTAGAGACTGTTCATCTCATTGTGATGGATGGGACACACTCAAATGTCTGCCACTCTCTTTGGTTGGAGTCACAGTCGAGATTTGAGTCCTCTGTATGTACAGTTGAGAGCCTGGTGTAGTGAAGCAGACTTGACAGGTTTGAGGGATCTATATGTGAGATTCAGAATACATAGAGGTACGAGAAGTGCTGTCTGATGTAATATGTGCTTCTATAATGCAGATGGTTTTATACAACACATCTATACTGTCTAAATTTAGCCCTATTGAGCTTTTCTGACCTTTTCTCTGCTGCCCCATTCTGGACATGTTTAAAATGTCAACAAGCATCTCTCCGTCATGCTTTCTCTGGACTTTTCTCTCAATCTCTTTCTCTGCATCCGTGCAACAGACGTATAGGAGTATGGATCATAATCTCTGACCTTCTTATGGACGGCACAGACAGATGCAGCTATCCGTTTATCTCTCCCCATTCCTCTTTCACCTCTCCCACCAGCGCCAAGGTTGAGGGCTCAGGATCATCGAGACAAGTAATAGTCTCTGTGGGCGAAACAAACAGGTACGTGAGCACAGGTGAAGACAGAAGCATTATCCAACCGCAGCATATTGCTCAGGTGAGTTCATCTTAGGTTAGCAAGAAAAAAGGAGAGTCCTGCTCAGCCATGCAAGATGCCAAGGCCAGGGCTGTAATCCATGGCCTCATTCATGATGGATTAGATAATGATAAAAAAAATGCTGCCTTTGGTTTTGATTAAGAATTATGGGGTTAGGAGATTAGAGACAACCAAACGCTATTACATTGGACGGAGCCCAATCCCAGAATTAATCTGAATACCAAAAAAGAGAAAACTCATTACATGGAGAGATTAAGAAAAGCTCGGTCCAATTCTCTTGGGATGCACACAAACCAGCGCGCACTATCCACCCAGAGAAATGTCACAACAAAACCTCTGACTCCAGTAATTTATTAAGTATTTATATCCATTTATTGGTCCTTCCTGTTTGAAATGTCACTGCGTTAGCTGGTAAATGCTGAGTCACTTTTGAAAGTCCTGACATTATTGATAATGAATTGTATTAAGACTTAATTTTTAGGGTGCTTTGTTAACATTCTACTTTCTATTTTCTGACCATAATTAGTTTCTGACCAACATTTGGTCATGTTGACATTGTCTGTATAATTGTGCATTTGTGTGTGTTGCTGAATAATCGCATTCTTTATTTGATTCTGATTTTACTGATGGCCGTATTTCAAAAGAACATGTCAGGAATACTGAATTGCTGCTGGCTTCAATGGGTATTTCAAAAGAACACATAGTGCACATCAAGTCCACTGACAGATTACAAGGCAGGTGCACAGACAGGAAGTAGACGTTGATGGAGAGATGAGATTGAAAGAGTTGGACGAGAAGAGGCAGAGAGACAAAGAGCATATGTGAACTCTTACATCCTTTTCTCCTCTGATTAATTTCTTTTACCCTGAGGTCCTGCTTCGGAGGACAGACAATCTTACTCCTAATGTAGCATTACGCTCAGAACACAGTGGAAGATGTACAGGACCTGTCACTGATATTTATTGATTCTGTGTTTATGCTGCAGACTTAATTATGTTGCCCTCTCCTCTGCAGTACAGAGGTTTAGGTCAGTCTACGGAGTGTACTGCTGTCGGGCAGTAGATGTTACTGGTATATGTTCTCATAAAACAACTTTCAGCACATATTTCTTTAGTCAGGTGGGAACCACTTCCAAAGTAAAGGTTTTATGTGTAAGAGACAGTTCATCCCAAAATCAAAAATACTTGTTTCCTCTTACTTGTAGTGCTATTTGTCTGTCTAAATTGTTTTGGTGTGAGTTGCAGAGTATTGGAGAAATCGGCCACAGAGATGTCTGCCCTCTCTCAAACATAATCAGT